CAAGGAAGAAACCGCTATACTTTGTTGCTGCAAGGTTCAATTCGTTCCTGAACGTTCGATGAATCTATAAAAAGAAACATGGCAAAGAGATAATTATTTCAAAATTGTTGTTCAAGAGCTGCACATGTACTGGGTGACGATAGCTCTAAAAGTGGCTATCCACATTCCAATAGATCAAGAGGGAAAGTGGGAGGAGAGTCTGCTGGCAGTCAAAAGCAGTGGCGGTGGGTGGACCAAAATTTGGGTGGGGCTTAGGTTGCGTCCAGTTCTTTACCACCAAATAGCAAGCAATAAGAATTAAACAGTAATGATTTTTATATACTCACGGTGAGCCACGGCAGTTTGAGAACCATTCAAACGAGAAGAGTTGCCTCCCTCTATTTTCCATCTCTTTGTTCTTAGGGGGGGGGGGGCAAAAGGTGAGATAGAGGGTTAGAGAGATAGTGGAGGAGGGAGAGGAGTAGATTACAAAAGAAAGAGAAGAGACTAAAACTGCTGCAGTTGTTGAATGTTTAAAGGTTAATTGGGGGATGAAAATCCTTTTGCGGCAACTGAATAGGTGGATGATGAGAGGTGCTGAGAGGCAAAGAAAAAAACAAATAATATCAAATAACTTTTATCAACAGAGAACAGTTTGGCAAGACTTCTGGGTGTACATAGCAAGGCTTATCAAAGACTAGTGAACTTGCCCTATTTCAAAAGGCCCTCTGCTTCCACATAAGTACACACAAATATAGAAAGGCCAAAACACTGGAAGTTGGCCTGAAACTAATTTTTATACACCTTAGTCAAGAGTAGAGCAGCGGTGAGTATCAAAGGAGGAGGGAGGAGGGAGGGAGATATAGGGAATGGGGGATAGAGGGGAGGGTATACGGAGAGAGGGGAAGGAGGGAGGGGATGCGTGTGTGTGTGTGTGTGTGTGTGTGTGTGTGTGTGTGTGTGTGTGTGTGTGTGAGGGAGAGAGAGAGAGAGAGAGAGAGAGAGAAAGAGAGAGAGAGGGAAAGAGAGAGAGAGAGGCTGAGAGAGAGAGAACAGAAGAAAGAAAGGCAAACAAGAGAAAGGTATTGGGAGGGGGAACGTGGAGGGGGAGAGAGAGAGAGAGAGAGAGAGAGAGAGAGAGAGAGAGGGGGGGAGGGAGGGAGGAGAGAGACTAGCAGTGTGTGGTGTGTGTGTGTGAGAGAGAGAGAGAGAGAGAGAGAGAGAGAGAGAGAGATTACATAATAAATCCCCCCTCCCAAAAAAAACCCATGTGTCTTGTCTGCTATTCCACACCAAATAAATGCCAAGAAATCCCAGAAAAGGAAATTTACCCAAAAAAACCCACCACATTTCTATTCTGAACACTATATATTTATCCCCCCTCTCCCCAACTACCCCCCCAAAAACAAACAAAAAACAACAGCAAACAAAAAACAAACAAACAAACCAACCAACAAACAAAAATAAACGCGTGAAAGTCTTTATGAGACACTGAACACACATGATCGTAGCCTGACCTGAGTCGTTCATAATATTCTATTCTCTCTCGTCCAAGGTCCAAAACGATGTGTACCAAAATAACCGGCTGCGCCGGGGAACAGCGACTGCTGACGTCATTTTACCGGGGAACAGCGACCGGGGAACAGCGACCGGGGAACAGCGACCGGGGAACAGCTACTAGTATTTTACTATATTTCTTTGTTACAGTTGAACTTGGTGTAATCGCCTACAGTATCGAATACAATTAGACCAAACATGTTACATTTCGTCTCGATTTTCAGTAAGTTTAACTAGAGCGCAATCAAATCTCCCGCCAATCTGTTCATAAGGAGGATCAAGAAAGAGAGAAGTTGATCACAGCGTAAAGCAAGAAGGAGCTGTTGCAGGAAATTTTAAAGAAAAATTTCTTTTAAAATTCTGTCAGCTCAGTAGCAAGTTTGAAAACAGTCTCCAGAATGTTCTTAGAGTCTGAACTTTTGTTTCTCTCTCATTGCATTGTCCTCTTCAGGTGGATGTCATCCTTTTCAGTGTAGATGCTGCGATTGCAATTCTCCGTTTTATTGTTGTTTTCCGATTTGACATTGTTTCTCCATGATTGGTTTATCATACTCCTACACGATCATACTCTTATTCACATACAAGCACACACACACACACACACACACACACACACACACACACACACACACACACACACACACACACACACACACACACACACACACACACACACACACACACAGACAATTACATAAATTTATAATTGGTGTTATTTTATTAAACATACATGTACGTGTGTGTATCAATAAAGTACACATACAATGAAAACAAAAACACCAAGCTAACAAGCAAATTATCAAACAGGCACACGAAATTTAATGGGAGTCATTAATGTATGAAGCATAGATGTACGTGTGTGTATCATTAAAGCAAAAATAAGGTGAAAACAAAAACACCAAACTAACAAACAAATAAACCAACACGCACACGGATTTATGATGGGAGTCGTTTTATGAAGCATACATGTGCGTGTGTGTATCAGTAGTAGAGAAATAGAGAGAGTAAAAAAGAAAACAGAAACGGAAACAAAAAACAACCAAACAAATAAAAACACACCGGCACACGAATTTCTACTTGGGATCATTTCATAGAAAATAGAAATACAATATCATGTACATGTGTGTATTGTGTATCGGTTGAAAAAAGATCCCTGGAAGATCATTAAAAAACAGAACAATCAGAACCGTGGCTCTCGTGGTCTAGAGGTACGCGTTCACTTCACATTCAATAGGTTCCAGGTTCGAAACCTGACAGCGACAGAAACATTAATTTTTTTCTCTAAAATGTTCTCTTTTCACTTCCTTTCCTTTTCTCTAGAC